TTCTTACAGGTGGTGGCCGAGTGGATGTGCTTGCGTTTCCTGGGCGGGAGCTGGTGGGGGGGGGAGGTTATCACTTGACCGGCCTTTGTTAGGGTTTGGGCCTTTGGGTGGATTGCAGAGGTCGCGGTTCCGCCTTCTCTTTAATTCGTATTTAGAAGTTTGAAATTGGGACTCTCTCTCTTTCTCTTTCTCTTTCTCTCTCTCTCTCTCTCTCTCTCTCTCTCTCTCTCTCTCTCTCTCTCTCTCTCTCTCTCTCTCTCTCTCTCTCTCTCTCTCTCTCTCTCTCTCTCTCTCTCTCTCTCTCTCTCTCTCTCTCTCTCTCTCTCTCTCTCTCTCTCTCTCTCTCTCTCTCTCTCTCTCTCTCTCTCTCTCTCTCTCTCTCTCTCTCTCTCTCTCTCTCTCTCTCTCTCTCTCTCTCTCTCTCTCTCTCTCTCTCTCTCTCTCTCTCTCTCTCTCTCTCTCTCTCTCTCTCTCTCTCTCTCTCTCTCTCTCTCTCTCTCTCTCTCTCTCTCTCTCTCTCTCTCTCTCTCTCTCTCTCTCTCTCTCTCTCTCTCTCTCTCTCTCTCTCTCTCTCTCTCTCTCTCTCTCTCTCTCTCTCTCTCTCTCTCTCTCTCTCTCTCTCTCTCTCTCTCTCTCTCTCTCTCTCTCTCTCTCTCTCTCTCTCTCTCTCTCTCTCTCTCTCTTCTCTCTCTCTCTTTCTCTTTTCTTTCTCTCCCCCCCTCCCCCCTCCGCCTATCCCTCCCTCTCTTCTCTCCGTTTCCCCCCTTCCCCTTCCCCCCTTGTCCCTTCTCCCTTCCTTTCCTCCTTCTCAGTTTTCCGTGTTCTTCTTCCCTCCCACTCCCACCCCATCCCTTGGCCTCCGCATCACCTCAGCTCGAACGTGGCCAAGGCTAATTTAAATGCTCCGTAGCCGTTTTTTTACTTTCTTCATCTTGGGAAACGAAAGGTTTACGCGCGACTGTCTTGGGGGAGGCATTGTGTGCAGGCCTATATATGGGAGTGATGAATACCAGCGAGGGAAGTTTTGAAGGGACGAGATCTCCAGATTACATTCCACTTGTGCCGTCGACGTGATGGCTCGGAATGGATTGCGCGATTGGGAATGTTGTCCAGAAAGGCGGATGGAGGGGATATCACGCCCATGCTAATGTGGGCGGGGATGTGTATAGGCATGTTTGCCTGCGAAGGGCGGGGAGAGGTATCGGTGCTTACGGTAAGTCTCGGTCCCGGCAAAGGGAAGAGGTTCTCAGACGTCTCGCTAATTAGATTCATTGGATTTGAATGTTTGAGTGACGGGCTGCCGTTCCCCGCGCACAGCCCGGTCGGCGCGGCGCCCGGGTCACCTGAGCCGGAGGTCACGTGATTTGAATTGCCACAACGTTCCTCGAGTTCGCGGCGGGCAAGAAGTGTGCGTGTGCGTGCGTGCGTTCATGCTTGGATCGGTTATGGAGAACGTGAGCGTTTCCTTGGACTACAGAACACCTGTATGCTGAAAATCCACAGCACCTGCGGGAACACCTGTTGCCGCGATATCAGCATTGGGTGCTGGGAGCACGGGTTCTCTTTGATGCCTTTGGCTTGGGGTATTTCCTATATTGCGAAATTTGTCTCATATTGCGAAGTAATTACCGTTATTTTTATTATTGTTATTGCTATGGTTAGTAGTATTATACTTATTCGTTAATTTCCGTTGACTGCCTGAGAGGGCGGGGCTCGCACTCCATGCTAATGAGGGCAGTGCGAGTCGAGGCAATCAGAAAACGTTTTACGAGTTCCTTTGAGGGCCACGGCACGAAACTCGAGCTGGTTGTGGCCACGCACGCGAGGTTTTACTCACGTTTTACTCACGTTTTACTCTTCCGTAGCTATCCTGGCGGTGGCCAAGGTCGCCGAGCTGCCGCAGGGCCGACGGTCCCCCTCGGGCGCCACCTGGACGCGGTGCAAGAGGCTGGTCACTTCACGGACACTCGTCGTGAGGGCCTGCGGACAGTGCTCGATGTAGTTGGTTTACCTCCTTGTCCGTTTTTTTCATTGCCGTCTTCGTTATTATGATTGTTGGTATTATCTGTTTTAGTGGTATCCGTAAAGGTGAGACAGTCCTTGAAAGGCGAAAGTGGAATCTTTAGATTTTAATTAATTTTATTAATTAGAAATCGGTATGCTGATGTGATAAGATTGTAAAATGAATCCAACGAGGCTCTGATTCCCTGATCTTTAGGTAATTTGGACGAGTAGTGTTCCTCTGGATTTACTGATATTCGTTATGGGAGATCCTGATTGTTTAAAGTTATGTTACTTTATTTATTTGTTTATCTGTTTAGCTTGATTGATATTTTGAAGTTAAAACCTCGTCTGCCATAATTCGATTTTGACTGGATGTGGATTTTGATGGATGGCTTTGTTATTTACGTAATTTGGCTTGGAGGTTATTTAAGCTGTAGAGAGTGACTGGAATTCGTCATTGGCAGCCGCGCCTGTTCCGAATTCTTGTACTCGCGCAGGAATTCCCAAGGACGAGCGAGCCATCAATCTCCGACTGTCGGTCACGATTTTTTTTTCCCTCCGAAGGTACCGATTCGTATGTACTTTCGTGCGCTGGCCTCGAGGAGTGTGCTTAGCAGCGCAGTAGAGACGGTCCTTGCGGCGAAATTCTCGTGTGTTATTTATCGGCGGAGGCAACTCTGTTCGGCCTCGTATCAGTTGATAAAGAGGAGGTGGAGGCGAGGAGAGACTAGCACCTCTATGGGCGGATTAGGGAGGCCTGGGAACTCGAATCTCTCGCCCGCGCACCGACGATGCACGTGGGTCGCGGTTGCTGGGCGGGAAGGCGCTGAGTGATGGGCGTGCGGACGGGGGCGCGGCTGTGTGCGTGGCGGCGGCATCCCTCAGCCGTGCCTTCGGAAGGCGTGTGTGGGAGATCCTTCAAGGACGCCCTAGCACCATAGCAGCAGGTGGTGTGTCGCCAGGATAGTTTGACGATTTGTTTTGGTTTCCCTGACGTGATAGGATATGCGAACATGTCAGGAAGAGGAGGGGGAAGAGAAGGGGGGAGGGTAATGCAGCCCCCAGGAGGTCTCCGGGAGGGAGCGAGAATCTGTTGGCTGAATCAGTAATTTAATGGGCGTCTTTTCCTCGCTGTGTGGTCCCCGTGGGTGGGCGTGCCGATGATTTATTGTCTATGCATTGGCTTCGGGATGTTTGGAAATGCGGCCATGTTGAGCGAAAATAGAAGTGGAGCCAAATACATGATTGCGTAAGCCTCCTTAGACAGGGGAAGGGTCGGGGGGGCGGTGGGTTTAGGGGTAATAAGAGTCGCTTAATATGCGGGCGATAAAAATCTGGAGAGCTTTGATTTGAACTCGTAAATTATCATATGACATATCACTTGGCCACCTTAATCCCCCCCCATCTGCCCTCGTCTGTCTGTTTGTCCAAATCTGTATGCCCATATTTCGTGGGGATGACGACCAGGTGCGCGGGTTTCCTCGACGACCGACGCAGATCCGAAGGCGGGCGCGTGTCGGGCGTGGCCAGGCGCTCTTTTTCGGTAATGATAGGTGCGCCGGGGAGTGGGGGGGGGGAATGGCATAGGGTGGGCGTATGGGCGTCGGAGGAGATATGACACGGGGTGGGCGTGCGGGCGGCGGCAAGGATTCAACATGGGGTGGGCGTGGAAGTAGCGTAGAGGTAAATCGGATACCGATCATGTTTTATATGGCGTTTGATCTGAAGAGTCATTGGTGTAAAACGGGCGGCGTGTTGCTTGTTTGTTTCGGCGGCGTTTTTTTGGGGGGGAGGGAGGGAGGGAGGGAGAGAGGAAAGAGGGAAGGAAGGTAGGGAAGGAAGCGAGGGAGGAAAGAAGGGAGGAGGGAGGGAGGGAGGGAGGGAGAGAGGAAAGAGGGAAGGAAGGTAGGGAAGGAAGCGAGGGAGGAAAGAAGGGAGGGAGGGAAGGAAGGAAGGGAGGTAGGGAGGGAAGGAAGGTAGGGAGAGAGGGAGGTAGAGAAGGAAGGTAGGTAGGTAGGGAGGCTGGCAGGCAAGGGTGAGGGGACGGAAGGATAGAAGGATGGAGAGAGAAAGGGAGGGTAGGAGGTGCACCCCGGCCGTCATGTGGCGTGAGTAGAATGACAACATGACAGCCTGCGAGAGGCATTGCCCAGTGCCTAGGGAAGATACGCACTTGCGGCCGCCTCGTACGCTTTATCGGTCCCGAGAAGTTTGTTGTTTTGTTTGCTGGGCGGATGCGCTTTGGAGGTAGTGTGATTCCTCAATTCATGGAGTTTGCTTGTTTCCCTTCCCCAGCTGAATCGTTAATTGCGGCTTCCTTCCTCCGCCTTCATTCATTTCTTCCGTTTCTAGTCTATGCCTGGCGCTTCCCTATTTTCTCCGCCTTGCACTTCTCCATTTTTCTCTATTCCCTTTTCCTTCGCTTTTCTTCGCGCTCCCTCTCTCCCTCTCCAGCCGCTTCCAGCAGCAGATTTTCGGCGGGAATAAGAGGATGGTCAGTATCCCCATCGAACTAATTAGGGGGAGGGGGAGGAGGTGTGTGGCATAGCATGGCAATCGCCGCCTTGAGACCGCGAACGGCTCCCGGCGTTGCTTCCGACTTGCGGGCGCAGCTGAGAGAGAAGCGCTGATAGGGCTTGTGGTATAGTATGGGCGCACGTGGGCGGCTCTCATGGGGGTGTTGACGCGCGTACGGAAGGTCAGGGAGGATACTTAGGGGTGGGGCGGCTCGATCTGCGATATTTAAAGGTATCGGCGTTTCAGAACCTTCATGTAAAGGGTATTTCGCGTCGGCTGGGGCCAGACCGCTTGTCCCGCTTATCCCGTGACGCGCAATAAACTCGCCGCCACTCTGTCAGGTCCACTCACTCGCTCTATTCATGACATTAATCGTCTCACCCCATCATCCCCTTCTCATCGCCCAGGCTGGAAAGTCTGTCATTTGCACACCAGACTTGTTAGCCCCCTTGCATTACTGGCTTGGCTCTCTGTCAAGCGCATTCGAGACTGGAGTCAAGTATAGGCGACGCAAAGAAATAGTCTGTGGTTATGTAACAGATTGTAAAAGTTTTCATTTATTTTATTTCTTATGTAATTTAGACTTTTCAGACTTTAGGCTTTTACAAAGATTGCATTTAGTCTTCCGATTTCTCCCAAGGGCGCACATAACACACAATGATTTAATGCAATGAGTAGATTGAATAAAATATTCTACATATGGAAAATACAAGAATATTTGACGTCTCGGCGCACCCGCAAGTTTCGTGGCACTCGAGATCTGGACGAAAAGTGCCGCACTTTCCAGTCTGGCTCGTCACTTGCTTCATATCATATTTCGTACCCTCTCACCTCCTCATTTTGTTTCCTCACACTAAGACACGTGTTTAAGTTAGCGTCATATGCTATTATGTACATATAACATTAGTTCATATTTATGTAATTTATCTTATTTTAGAAAAAAAAAATCCATTCTTTATGCAAATATAAATAAAGGAAATTACTGTTCCTTGATTATTTTCGTTTCTCTAAAGCATGTACTTGTCATGAAGCCTTTTGGTTGCAATAGGTTTAGGATAGTGAGAAGGTTGTAGTTATGGGCAGGGACACCGCCCCTTTTGTGGGCGTGGGCGTACTAACTAACGACGCCTCCCTTGGCAGCGATCGCTCCCCCGCCGCCCACTTGCTCTCCGCAAGAAGGTAAAGGATCTTGCAAGGAAGTGACTTAAGCCATCTGCTGCTTGTCTGGCTTACAGGCGCATCACCTGCAATTCTGTCCACTAAATGTTGTGTTCTCGGCATAATTTCCATTTTGTTTGTCTTACTTCGTTTTAGTTTTGTTTTCTGAGTTACTACCACATCGTGCAACCATAGACATATAAACTGCATAAAGTGTATAGGTTTATTACCCTGCTTAACCTTAACCTCTGTTACTTTGTGATTTTCTCTAATTATTTGTACAATCATTTAACCTGTAAGTGTGAGGTGGTGGAGGCGAGGGTGGGTCAGGGAGGGCGGAGGAGACCCCCTTCAGAACGTTGGTGTTTCCCGACCCGCACTGTGCCACCCTCATTCATACCCCACATTGCCATCACCTGCAACGCGATTACTCACTCTGTTGTCACTGGAATTTATAATACACAGTCGGCCCCTCAAACGCGAAGCTTATTGGAGTAGAACAGGCCTCGCGTGTGGGGCCTTAGAAGAGGCAGTTCTTTGAACCTTCCCAACAGAACTTGTGTAATGGTAAATGCTCATGGTCCAGATCTCTATATAGGTGCCGTTTAACCTTTCCTGATGCAAGGCACTACTTATATTCTGCCAATGGGAAGTTTCTTGTAAGTGCCTCAGAAAGTAGATTAGAATGACAATTGTGTGCTGGGTGAAATTGGTGCGTTATTTACTCATCTAACACAACTCAAGTTTTCTTTTTTTTTGTTTGTTTTTAGTTGAAGAGCGTAATGCTAAAAAAAAAACTCACCACTAACATTTTGCAACTATTAAGCCCAGGAGGTAAGAAATAACACATATGAAGATGAAGACAGCGTTAAGTTAAAAGGTCAAAATGTATCCTCCAGGTATTTGTTTTGCAACTGTCTTTGTGTCTTGAATGATTTATCCATGTATGGTTTACATGTGGAAAGGGGCTATTTCTGTTAAGATGATGTCATACTGGTATTTACCTGTGCTTGTTATATTTCTATATATGCCTTGGTCTGAAATTCTTTTTGAGAACATTGTTACTAAAATGCCTTTAAAGGTTCAATTGGATTACCTGTTTCCACTTCTAAAGACCCTACCCAGGTTTTCATCCTACCACCTACCCCCCTACCCCCCCCTCTCTCTCTCTCTCTCTCTCTCTCTCTCTCTCTCTCTCTCTCTCTCTTCTCTCTCTCTCTCTCTCTCTCTCATCTCTCTCTCTCTCTCGTCTCCTCTCTCTCTCCTCTCTCTCTCTCTTCTCTCTCTCTCTCTCTCTCTCTCTCTCTCTCTCTCTCTCTCTCTCTCTTCCTCTCTCCTCTTCTCTCACTCTCTCCTCTCCTCTCTCTCTCTCCTCCTCTCTCTCACCCGTCTTCCCCCCTCATCTCTCTCTCTCTCTCTCTCATCTCTCCCTCTCCCTCTCCTCTCCTCTCCCTATCCCTCCTCCCTCTCTCTCTCATCTCTCGTCTCGCTCTCTCTCCTCTCTCTCTCTCTCTCTCTCCTCTCGATCTCTCACATCATCGCTCTCTCTCTCTCTTCTCTGCTCTCTCTCTCCCTCACACCTCTCATCCTACTCTCGTCCCCTCTCATCTCTCTCTCTCTCTGTCTCTCTCTCCCATTCCTTGCACGCAGCTTCTCAACACAGGAGCCACGGCCAAGGTAGTGAGTGTGTGTGCTTGGTGGAAAGATGAGGAGATATAACTAGTAGGGTATAGTAGTTGGGTTGTGAATGTGTGTTGCTTCTTTGGGAATGCATCTAGTGTGTGGAGCCGTTGTACCTTGATTGTGAAGTGTCTGGTGGAGCTTTCAAGACTGGAAGTGCACTAGTTAATGATGCTAGTGGACTGCCTTAGGTGTATGAATTGTTTTACTACTGGAGGATAACAGATCTGGAAGTTTTTTTTTTTTTTTTTTTTTTTTTTTTTTTTTTTTTTTTTTTTTGTTTTTGTTTTTTTTAGTAGGAACTTGATATGCTGTTTTGATAATTGGTTAGTAATGAAATGAATCTAAAAAATATAAAGATAAAAAGCCTCTTCTTGAGTTCCTACTAAAAACTTGTAAGTGAACATGGTTATCAGGGCAGTGTGAATGAGAAGACAGCAACTCGGACAGGTACGGCAACAGTGTACAGTGTACGTTTGGTGAAGTTTATAAGGTGATGTAAGGTCTCCAGGATTGTATGTGATCAAACAGTTAGAACATTTTGTTAAACACTACATACATATTCTCTCTTGGACACACATTTCTGACCTTCCTGTCTCTCTCTCTCTCTCTCATCTCTCTCTCTCTCTGTCTCTCTCTCCCATTCCTTGCACGCAGCTTCTCAACACAGGAGCCACGGCCAAGGTAGTGAGTGTGTGTGCTTGGTGGAAAGATGAGGAGATATAACTAGTAGGGTATAGTAGTTGGGTTGTGAATGTGTGTTGCTTCTTTGGGAATGCATCTAGTGTGTGGAGCCGTTGTACCTTGATTGTGAAGTGTCTGGTGGAGCTTTCAAGACTGGAAGTGCACTAGTTAATGATGCTAGTGGACTGCCTTAGGTGTATGAATTGTTTTACTACTGGAGGATAACAGATCTGGAAGTTTTTTTTTTTTTTTGTTTTTGTTTTTTTTAGTAGGAACTTGATATGCTGTTTTGATAATTGGTTAGTAATGAAATGAATCTAAAAAATATAAAGATAAAAAGCCTCTTCTTGAGTTCCTACTAAAAACTTGTAAGTGAACATGGTTATCAGGGCAGTGTGAATGAGAAGACAGCAACTCGGACAGGTACAGCAACAGTGTACAGTGTACAGTGTACGTTTGGTGAAGTTTATAAGGTGATGTAAGGTCTCCAGGATTGTATGTGATCAAACAGTTAGAACATTTTGTTAAACACTACATACATATTCTCTCTTGGACACACATTTCTGACCTTCCTGTCTCTCTCTCCCATTCCTTGCACGCAGCTTCTCAACACAGGAGCCACGGCCAAGGTAGTGAGTGTGTGTGCTTGGTGGAAAGATGAGGAGATATAACTAGTAGGGTATAGTAGTTGGGTTGTGAATGTGTGTTGCTTCTTTGGGAATGCATCTAGTGTGTGGAGCCGTTGTACCTTGATTGTGAAGTGTCTGGTGGAGTTTTTAAGACTGGAAGTTTACTAGTTAATGATGCTAGTGGACTGCCTTAGGTGTATGAATTGTTTTACTACTGGAGGATAACAGATCTGGAAGGCTGTATATACTTTTTTTTTTTTGTGTGTGTGTGTGTGTGTGTGTGTGTGTGTGTGTGTGTGTGTGTGTGTGTGTGTGTGTGTGTGTGTGTGTGTGTGTGTGTGTCCAGTCTGTTTCTCTTTGAACAAACTGCCCTGGAGTATGGAGTTAGTCTTGCCTTGCAGTATGTTGTACATAATTTGATATACATAAAACTAACTTTATTATATGAACTAGAGTTTGATCAAAATTCAAACCAAGTATTACTGGAAGTTCATGCATGCATTAGATAATGTGGTTCCCCTTGTTGATAAGGATATTGTTGAAATATAGACATTAAGTAGAATTATAGAATAGATAATTTAAATAAAGTATAAACCCAATGACCAGAGATAGCATGACGTACATGCCATGTCCACTGTAATTTTAGTTTATTAAGTGTGTTTCCACAGAGGTGGCTCCACAAGTGCTTAGTCATTAAGGAGTCAATTATTAGTCCTACTTACCCTTTTCCTTAATTTTCAGAAAATTGATATTTATCTAAATATTTTTGATGTTATTAGTATTTTGATAAGATTATAATAATCATAATGCCAATAATGATAATGACAGTATCAATAAAGTTACTGCAAATTCAAGGAATGGGGAAATCAGATGTAGTTTTTAGGATCTACTAATTGATGGCTGAAGACTTGGGGTGCCATGTCTGTGCAACAAAATTCACTAAAACCTACAGTGGACAGTACATAAATCCACGGTTGATGTGGTAAGCAGCTTCTACACCATTTGTTATCACTGATATGTAAGCTCACATGGCCATAATCTGTAAATTATTATTGTTACTTTTACATGGAAGTTGTTGGTATTTTCTCTGCAATAGCATTCATGGCTCCAAAGTTGTTTGCAAGTAACAGAGTTGTAACAGATTCTCCTTAGTACCAATTCACCATTATTTATATTCTGTGATCTGTATACTTTCTGTTTGCAATACCAATGCCATTTCTACTATAAGAAATAAAAAGAAGACCTATGCACTCTGTATGAATCTTTTTGTGTGACTGTTAATGCAATAGAGTTGGTGGAAATATATTAGTATATAGATATGTAAGATA